GAGAGAGAGAGAGCAAAAGCGGTAACGCGATCGATTCTCGCGAGTCTCTTTCGTTATCGCCTACGAAACGTGGCGAACGAGCAAACGAACGAACGGCAGAGAAAGTCGATTCTTTAGCGATTATCGCGCTCTCGAGCTTAATTTCTCGAGATAATTATTATTACGGTATGTAAATAATTTCATAACGAGCAGAGAAGAAGCTGCACGAGCCTTCTCGAATTTTCGCAGCTCTCGCGGTAATTAACGAAATACAAATTGCGAGGAACGCGTTCCCACGCCGGTGAGCTTCGTAAAACGAGTAACGTTCTCCCTGTCCAGGCTCATTAATTAATCCAGCTTCATGAATAAAAAGAAAAAAGAAAAAAAAAAAAAAGGAAAAAGTAAAAGAAAGAGAAAAAGAAAAAGGAAAAACAAAAAGGAAAAAATAAAATAAGAAAAGGAGAGAGAAGGAACGCGAAACGAAATGAGACAAAGACCCGTAGTAGATATGTGGGAGTGAGCGAGGGAGAGGATGGAAGATCGTAGAGGGTCTTCCTCGAGTTACCTGCTGCTGCTGCTGCTGCTGCTGCTGCCGCTGCTCGAGCCGGATCCATAAATACACTTGGCCGTGTTAATTCCGTGTGCCGAGCACGAGACCGAGCAAGGGGCCGAGCAGGCGGCCGAGCAAGCGGCCGAGCAAGCGGCCGAGCCACTACCGGTATTAACCGAGTCCAACGACACGCGGTTACACCGCGAAAAGGGAGATAATTTCGAGCTTGGCCCGTCCTACCTCGAGCCAATTTGTCTCCGCCCGTTGGATAAAACGTCGACGTACCCGGCTGTTATTTGTAATTTGGATAACGGTACTCCGCGTTTTGTGCCAGAACCGCGGAAGACATTTGTCAACGTGCTCGCGCGCGAAACTCTTTTGCCAAAAACCCTTTTTCCCTATTTCGCCGAACGCTATTACATAACGCTCGTCGCCTCGTCGTTTTAATATCGTTTCTCTCATCTTTTCCTTTTTACCATTCTTCTTTTTCTTTTTTTTTCCGCCAAATTTGATTCCCTCTTTTCTTCTTTCCTTCCCCGTAGCAAATATCGTTCGATCACGAGAATGAGCACAGAGATCCATCGAACTTAATTGCTAACATCGTTCGAGCGGGAAAGCCTTCGTTTATCCATTAAGCATCGAGTTCGGCTCTACTCCACCGACAGTCAGCAGACATTAGCCAAATGTTCTTCCCTCGATCGACCACCGTGTCAGGGAGCGACCCCGATACGACCCTTCGAGCCTCATCTAGAAATTCGATCCTTTGGGATAATGTTGGGTCTTCATCGAGCTCTAGAGAGAGAGAGAGAGAGAGAGAGAGAGAAAGGTGGACAGAGAAATGGAAACGGGCGAGATGGCGAGAGACAGAATGGGATTCCTCGAATCTCGGATTATGGTGTACGAAAACACGTTGTACGCAGCGTGTCGCGTTAATGGTTATGGCATGGGCGTGATGTTTACCGCTCGTTAAGATTTTTATATATATATATATATATTTATATATATATATAGCGATCGATCCGACGAAGGCCGACTCTTTGCGATCGAATCGCGCTATAAAACGAGTCAAGTTTTCTCGGAACAGCCTTTTGCTCGTAGATCGTAACTACTTTTCAGGTACGGATTACAGCAGGATATCCGGCTGGTCCTAAAGTCAGTAGGCATCTTTTCAAGCAGTTCCGTCTATTCTCTCTTTCTCTCTGTCCGTTTTTCTCTCGGTGGTATACATTAATGAGGCTCGAAGACGGTCGATCGCGTTCTCTTGGCAAAGGCTGACAGTCTTAGCGTTGCCGAGTAGGAGTCGAGCCTCTTACGAGATCTTCTCTCGTGCGGTTGGATAAAGTGGCCGTTGGTCGAGAGAGAGAGAGAGAGAGAGAGAGAGAGAGAGAGAGAGAGAGACGGCGCGGTTGGCCGGTGCACTCAACCAATTATAATTAATTACGTCGGCCCCTTCGTATATAGACCGCCATTTTCAAGGAGGAAATTCTCTCGTACGATGACACTAATAGAGAGCCCACCTGAGGCGCTACCTTCGAAAGGTATTCCCGGATATAACGACTTCTTTTTCCGAACGTGGAGCTTCCATTGAGATTAACGATACGCATGAGAGAAAGAGACGAACCTATGTATCTAGATACTACCTATATTTCGCTTCTTCTTTCCATCTTATGGATTATTAAGAGTACCGATCTGAGATAAGGATCGATCGTGTAAACGATAATACCTACGCATCGGCCGAGTTTGGCGAGATAACGAGCTCGAATCTGCCGGCTCTTCTTCTTGCGCGAAACGAGATTTCGAACGGGTCTGGCGGCACGTTTTTCTTCCTCCTTCTTGTCTGCTTTTTCCATCCACTAATACGATCGAACGCTGTACGATCTAGCTAGCGGCTTTTCGTAATTCGCAAGATCTGTGGTGATCGGGCAAAGTCGCCGCAGGTTGAGAACATCGGCGCGGTTAGCCGCGACGACCGCAGCGACTGGTTCTGCCGCCTGTCGGCGTCTCGCTCGCCATCGCTTTTCGCGGTATCGTTTCCTCTCTCTCGCTCTCACTCGTGTGCTCCTCGTCTACGCGGCACTTTCCTTCCTCTTCTCTCTCTCTCTCTCTCTCTCTCTCTTTCTTTCTCGCGCGCGCACTCTGGCCAGAGTTCGGTAAGTACCGAGCCGTGCCGAGCCGCGCCGAGCCGCGCCGAGGACACGTATCCACCGAGCGAACACGGCGAACACGCAAACCGGCTGCGGCAGGCGGCAGGCAAGGCGGCTTCGCATAAACCGCAGCCGACCAAGCGCGACCGACAGCTTCGCCAACACTCCACGGCACTGCCTTATATATTCCTTCTTCGTCGAGTGGAAAGGAGATAAAGAGCCGCACCCGAGGAAAGAGAGCAAGAGAGAAAGCAAAATGCGCTCATGGTTCTCGCGATAAACAAAACCCACCGTCACCGCGGCACGTCACGTATTTATTTCATTAAGGGTAGGTCCCGCGCCATCGCCTCCGCCATGCACCAACCGATGAATATATGACTCCGAGAATCAGAGAGAGAGAGAGAGAGAATGAGAAAGAGCTCTCGTGCATATATAAGCACGCACATATACACGTACCATCCTGCGTTCCGCGAAGCATGACAATGGGGTTTTCTAATCCTTCTTTGGATTAAGGGTCGAAAGCAGGGCTCGGTGTACGGCAGAGCGAGAGAGCTTCAGGTAATGGGATCGACGTTTCGTTATGTTACTTTTCCATTCTCATCCTCGGCCTCTCTATCTTCCGACCGGCGCAGCACCACCGCCATCGCCGCCGCCGCCGTCGCCGCCGCCGCCACCACCACCACCACCACCACCACCAGCTCTTCCACCACATCACCATCACCCCGAACAGCCTTTGCTGTTTCGGTTCGTAGGGTCCATCCCACAGAGTCCTCTTCCACCTCCTCCACTTCCACCTCCTCCTGCTCCTCTACCTACCTCTTCCTCCACCTCTTCATCCTTCACCAACACCACCTTCTCCACCTCCTCCCTCGACCGTGTTTTTCCTCGTGTAGCCCCCTATTTTTCATGTTTCGCTGCGGCTTCGCGTAGCACCTTCATTCCGTATAGCTACGGCCATAGAGCGCGCAAGGGCGAGAGAGAGAGGGGAGAAGAGAGAGGGAGAGAAAGAGAGAAAGAGCGAGCGAGTGAGCGAGTGAGTAGAGTAGTCCGCGCGGAGCAAACGCGTGGACGTCGATCGAAAAAGTCACGACGAGGATTGGACGAGGACGAGCGTTCATTCGAGTCTTTGCGCCGGTAGCGTCGATCGGTGGGGTATACGACGGTACGATTGGCCAAGGCTCGCACAGCGGCGCACCGATTGGTCGAGGTGCCGTACCTCGATCCGCGCGGACGGCTTCCCTTACGAGGCTGCCGGACGATAGCGGCAATCAAGTAGGAAACTGCTTGGGACTGTGTGCTGCGCGATATTCACATAGGGGCATCCCCTTACCACACACGCGAGCAACCCGGTGCTCACCACTCGCGCATGTACGTTCGCGACCGTGATGAGGGAGCGAGAGTGAGATACGTGCGTCTCTACATATATTCTATCCAGGGGAAGAGCGAGAGAGAGAGAGAGAGAACGAGAGGAGGGAAAAGAGAAAAAGCATGCTTTCTCTCTCTTGCCCTTTCTTCCTTTCTATCCCTACCCTCTGCTACTCTCTCTACTCTCGCTCTCGCACTTTATGCAGCCACGGTATGTAGGGGTTGGGAAAACGGGTGGAGGCGCCATATTTGTGGTGGTATGGGAAGTGAGGGAAATCACGAGTACCGAGAGAGAGAGAGAGAGAGAGAGAGAGAGAGAGAGAATGACGCGGTGAAGGAGAGGGAAAGAGCGAGTTTATGCGGACATCCGTGTCAGCCCGGTGACGGCCATTTTGCGAAAAACTTTCGATTTGTTTGCACGCGTCGGTCGAAGCAGGGAGACGAACGACGGCTAATACTCGCGCGTATGTACGGCACGCCGCGATTTCGTCGATCTATCCACCTATCTATCGCTCGAACGATCATCCTCCCGTCTCCTTCTCGATATGTACTTTACTCACTCACTCACTCACTCACTTACTTACTTACCTGCACTCGGAATCGTCCTAAGAACCGTACAATATCGAGATCGTTTCGACTTTCTTCGTCGATCCTTTTCCGATCGATATCTAAACTTTGAATTATCTGGTAGAATGAGGCATCGGCCGTTAATACTCGTTAATAGTTTGAAGGAAAAATTAATGGGTGTAATCATTAATGGGCGACAAACGTGTAGAATTACTTTCGTTGAGTCAGTCGCTATTTTTAAATCTCATCTCCGGCGTATCTTTTCGCGTAATGCAAAGAAAATCGAGGCGCCTTGAACGGAGATGCGGCTAAATAGACACAAACACACACACACACAGAGAGAGAGAGAGAGAGAGAGAGAGAGAGAGAGAAACTTTGACGAAATATTCACAGACCTTCCTCTTATCGGCGATGAGCCACGCACAAAGTCGTGACTAATTTCGATCGTTTGTAGAACCCTCCAATGACGAGCGTATATACATAGGAGTCTCGCAACTTCTCCTTCGTATGTACTCTCGGAACGCGACGAGAAGCATAAAGTCGTAAAACGACACGAGCGAGTTAACGTGACGCGTTTTAGATACGCGACGGAGAGAGAAAAAAATAACAATAGAAAATAGAAGGCGTTTCTTCTTCTTTTTGATAAGAGAGTCGAATGCTTCGTCATCGATTCGATCTCCGTCTTGTCGAAAAATGAAAACGTCAAGTTCGATCGTGTTAACTCGGTAGAGAGCATTAAAATCAACTTGGCTGAGAAACATCCAAACGTCGGAAAATGCGAAAGGGCATGCACGCGCCACCGTGTACATGTAAGTGAAGAGACCGAGAGAGAGAGAGAGGGAGGGGGGGAGAGCAAAGTACTACCGAGAGAGGGGGCCCATCAGAAAGGGGAGAGCATCGCAGCGACGTTTTAACGAGCCGTGATTTTCGTGCTCGCCTTTTCGAGGCCCTTACGTAACGCGACTTAATTGTGAAGGAGCTATCGCGCCGGTTAATACGAGCCTCGAGGACGAAGAGAAAGAGAGAGAGAGAGAGAGAGAGAGTGATCGTCGAGAAGGAGATGGAGACGAAGCAGAAGAACGACGACGACGACGACGACGACGACGACGACGACGATGACGAAGAGGAGAAAGACGAAGACGACGACGACGACGTCGTTCGAGGGTCTAAGTGCGGTGAAGCGAGGCAGCATTGCTGCCGAAAGAAAGAACGAGCGATACGTAAGAGAAAGAGAGAGAGAGAGAGAGAGAGAGAGAGAGCGCGGCGGTGCGAGTGAGAAAAGTCCCGACGACGGGGAAGAGAGAGAGAAGGAGAGCGAGTAAGAGTCCCGTCGAGTGGGGAGAATCGCCGCGCGGCTACGAGGAGGGGATACGATCCCCACCACTTCGTCGTCCATCAGTCGCGCCGAGCACGTCGTCGGAAGAGGTTCTTTCTCTTCGTGCGTTCTCGCAGGTCTACAACGCTTCGAAAATCGTGCGTTCTTCGTTCGCTTAGCGAACGTTGAGAATTAAATTAGCCGGTTCAAAGTCCGTTGAGTTTGAAACGCGAGTGAGTGCACAAGTTGCTTTGATAAGTGTGCAGTGCATCGGCGAAAGCGCCGTGCTCAGTGAGTACGGTTGTGAGTTTTGTTTCTCTCGGTGTGAAACTGTGACGAAGAGTAACGGAATCATATTCCGTCGAATACAATTCGGGACAGGAGATATATCGAGAGAAGGAATTATCTAGGAAATTTGTAGTCGTCCTTGTCATCGTTGTCACGCGGTAAGAGAAACTCGTTGCCGTTCCGAAAAAGCGTCCTTTCGTTTGGCGTCTTTTCGCGTCCGTTTCTCGCGGTTTCTCTCGTCTCGGTGGCCCCCGTAGCTCTCTGCTTTACCGACCGACGCCGACCGAAGTGGGAAAAGGACGCGACGCTTCTAGCCGGCTACGGCGTCGTGGCATCGCCGCCGCCGCCGCCGCCGCCGCCGCCGCCTTGTTTTCTCCCCCTCCCCTCCTCCTCGCCCTTATCTTTGTTGTCGTCGTCGTCGTCCTCGTTGCCGTCGCCGACAACGTCGTTGGCTTCGCGATCTTGACGCGAGCCGGTTCGATGAGAAAGGAAGGTGTCGAGGACAGACGTTTAACGTGCCGATGGATCCTCTTCGTCGAAAAGAAAATAGCGTGATCGTCGTTTGGACGGACGCCTGGATCGTCCACGAGAATCTTCCTACGAAGGCACGCCGTTCCAGTTGTTCCAGTCGTTTCAGCCGTTCCAGCCGTTCCGATCGTTCCTCCTTGACGGAATAGCCCGCGCGAATTTTTCGCCGTTCGAATTCGGCGCTACTGTTTAGTTTCTTTTTTTTTTTTTTTTTTAACTTTCTATACACGTCCTTCGAAACGTCGTTGGTTATCCTTTCGCGCTTCGGTGCGTTGCCATGACGCGACCTTGACGAGCCCGAATTCTTTGGATATTTTGTTCGTGCGAGAAGGGAGACAACCGAGATCAGAACAAGGAATATTATTATGTATCCCAGTGCTGGAATCAACGCGGCTGCGGTGGCCGCTGCTGCCGCGAGGCATCCGGTAAGTACCGAACGATTTTTTCTCTTCCTTTTCCTTTTATTTTCTTTCTCTCCCGCCCTCCTTCCCTCCCCATCTCCATTTCCCCAAACTCGTATCATTAACATCGAAGTTATCCAACTACATAAGTATAGCTACAAAGTCGGTTGGACGAAAGGAACTTTCTCTCTCTCTCTCTCTCTACCTGTTTCTCAGTTACAATTTTCTACCTGCGCGCCGTTCTATGCTCGCCGTCGCTTCGGTTCCGGCCGGCCCTCCTTTCGTAGAAACGACCAACTTTTCCTATTTCGAGTCTTCCTTAGAAAATATTTCCTACGTACCTTTCTTTAACCATTTATCCTCTTATTCCATATGGTTTATGTACGATATACCTGCGCACCTATATTTCTTTCATAATAGAAGTTTCTAATTGTACTACGACGAACCATATTACTTTGTAATCCTGCTTTCCTGTTTACTTATCGCGCATTCGTCGGCTTATGTCTCGCAGCTGGCTTCGAGCCGTACTTTTACAACCCCCTATGAAATTTCCTTCCTTCAAATTCTACGACTTTCTTCTACCTGAGGAAAATACGAATATATACACTTTGGGATCTCGTAAAATATTGAACGATTACTATCGACGCACGAGATTCGTTAATCGTTGAATAGCCTTTTTTCTTTTCTTTGCTTTTCTTTTCTCTCTCTCTCTCTCTCTCTCTCTCCCCCCCCCCCCGACTTACAACTTTTATTAATTATTTCCGTATGTTTGAACGTTATCGAAGGCACGAGAACTCTTTTAAAGACCGCCTAGTTGTAACGCCATTTTTAATCGAGAAACATGCGTGTCTCTACGTGACTCTAGCAAGTAGCACCTATCGAGAAGTCTATCGAGAGTTACAAAAGATCGTTGCGTATCGACTACACGAAGCAAACATCACGCCTTGGATATCTTTTTTATTTTCGTCTTTTTTTCCTCTCTCTGTCCCCTTCCCTCTTACTCCTTCGCATTCACTCGAATATCGTAGAGCCGGTTCGAATTCCTCTCGCATGTGCGTGGTTCTCTTTACCGTAGCCTGCATATTTATCGAGCGACTCTCGAGATGATTTATACTCGTGATTTACATTGTTGTTAAGCTCGTTAACCTTGTCTCTTTCTTTTCTTTTTTTTTTCTTTCTCTCTTTCTCTTTAAGTACACATATTTGTACATACGTCTATCATATCGGATAAATTATATTTGTGATACAAACGAGAGAGGAGACAGAAGCAGAGGGGCAAAGAGAGAGAGGGAGAGAGAGAGAGAGTGAAAGAGGGAAGAGAGAAGGAAAAAGAAGAATAAATTGTATATGAAAGATAATTTATGCGAGATGGAAGAAGAAGGTCGTCGACGGAAGCAGCACGTTCTGTCGGACGGTTTAATTAAAATCGACGTTGAATCGCGCCTCTTTATTATATTTTTTTTCTTTTTTTTTTTTTTTTTCTTTTTTCCCTCTCTTCCCGACTCGTAAAGGATATTTTTCCATAGGGGTCGCAGGTACCCTTCGCATTATAGCCGTTGTTATTAGGTTTGAGCGATTTGTTCATCGTAACTCGATCCAATCGAGGGGGACGGACTTGCTTGGTTTCGCGCGCACACATATTCGTTCTTACACACGGATAACTCTGCTCTTTCTCTCAATCCCTTTCTCTCTCTCCCTCTCTCTCTCTCTCTCTCTTTCTCTCTCTCTCGCTTCGTCGCACATACACGTACACTGGCGATTCTGGTCACGTTCAGTGACGTAGGCAGTGGGCCGCGTTACACCAATGCTTCGACCGTTCATATTCTATCGAGTTACCCTTCAAAGAATTCTTTTTAACGTACCAAATGGCTGCTCGTTCGTGACACGAACCCTCTTCTTTTTTTCTCTTCTTTCTTTTCTCCCATTTTTTTCTTTATTTTTCCCGTAGAATTTCAAGGTCCAGTTCGCTTCTACAACGATTATCTGCCAACGATAGATATGTCATGGTTCGTCTGTATATCTTGATATTAATTAATTTCGTTGCAGATATATCATATGAGAATATGCGTAGAAATCCGTGTACATTATTTTAATCTCGTTTTCATTTCGCTTCCTCCCTTTGGTCCATTGTCAAAAGAGATTTGGAGAGATCGGGCTTCGAAAACGATGGAGAAAAGACGACGTCGCACGTGTTCGTCACGAGCGAGCGAGTTAACTCGACGCGCATCGTACGTATGTACGCATGTAGGAACGACTCTACTAGCATAAACGGCTCGTCGCGTAAGCGACACGTGCTCGTGTCGACCCGGACGCACGTGTGCAGAGCCCGTTCCCGCCTCCGCCGTGCCATTTCGAGATATCGAGATGCGTGGGCGACTCGAGAATTCTCTTCTCTTTTCTCGCCAACGAGTTTTTAGTAGAGGAAGCTACGTTACGTGTTTCTCGAAATTCGCCGTACATCGTTTAAATTTGTATTTATATTTTCAAACGATTTGCTCCTTGTTTTCTCTTTATCTTTTTTTTCCTTCTTTCTTTCTTCCTTTTTTTTCCGGTCTCATTCTCACATGCGCGATCGTATATTCATTTAAATATTCACAAACAACATTCTTTGCGTATTGCGTTAACGCGCGTTGGCGATCGTTCACTCGTTTTCGCGACGATTTCATAATATTTCTATGAATAGGGTACGATAGGCAAAAGTAGTCGACGTTTTCTTCGTTGTCGTTCTACCTAGAACCACGGCGTAGATTCTATTGCGAAGCGCGTACGACGACTAAAAGATAACGGACATTTCCCGTTCTTTTAATAGTATCATTGAAAGAGGACTTAGGGTGCTTTTACGAAGACGATATTATAGATCCAATTTCAACTACGGCAAATTTTTGGCAACCGTTCGCGTGCCACGTTATTTGTATTGCGAGTAAGTAACTCGCCGGACGAGCACCTTTGGCATCGGA